ATATATATATATATATAAAGGAATTCAATTCCCCTGAGAGGAGCTGGGCAGAAGAGGCTCTCGGCTTCCTCAGACATTTGAAAGCCACACCTGTGGGACAGTAAGCCTCCCGCACACAGAAGCGAGGCCACGGATAGGAAGATGAGATGGCACGTGGACTTCAGTGTGACCAAGAACCTGCTGCTTGTAGCGAGCCGCTCACATGCAAACTCAGACACCTGGCCTGCCACGCCTGTGTCCTCAGAGAGACCCACAATGGGACACGAAGGAGGCTGAGGACCCGGGCCACAGAAGCAGTGCCACACACCTGCTCCGGCTCCGTGCAGCCCACAGCTGCCTGGGCCCTGCTCGCCAGCCGCTGCCCCTGCCCAGCCTCGCCCACTGACCTGCCTCCACCCAGACGAAAGTGGCTGCTTGCTCCTGTGCAGCCACTGGAGCTGGGAGCAGGACATGAGCTAAAGGATGGACCGGAGTGGGCACTGAGGGGCTCAGTGCCGCCCACCACCCTTCCTGGACACCTCCCTCCAGCACACCGCCTCTTGGCTCTCAGGCATGAGGGATGCAGGGCAGCTGGCACAGCAGGGCCTGCCAGCCTCTGCACCCCACTGTCTTGGGCTCCAGTCCCAAGACCTCAGCGCCCCCACAGCCGTGGGGCTGCAGGAAAGTCCTCGCTGGTGCTGGCTCCTTGCTCCTTGCCCTGCCAGGCATGAGATCCTCCTCCTGATTCTGACAGCTTTCCGTCCAAGGGACCTCATGAGGAGGGACTGAGTCTATCCCTCATACCCCCACAGCCCTCCCTATGGCAGGACAGCAGAGCCAGGTGGCGGCAGCAGCCACGCTGGGACATAATTTTCTCCCAGGCCTGGCCCTGTCACCTAAAAGCTGACTTTGCTTTCCATCCATAGAGAGCAGCCCCTAGCTAGGGGCTCACAGGCCCTTCCGTGGCCAGTGATACCCCACTTCCAAACCCAAAAGCTCTTGGGTGGCCCATCCAGTAGGTACAAAATGTCCGCACAGACAGAGGGGCAGGTCTCCATCCCCAGGTGCTGGGGCGTCGGATCAGCTGGAGCCCCGCGTACACCGGGCACGTCGGCCCTTGATGCCCTTCAGTCCTGCTGAGCCTGAAGGCAGGGAGTCACCCGAGTCCTGAGTTTGCTCTGGGCGCCTCCGGCTGCGCTGTCCTGCCACCAGGCGGGGCGGCCAGGTCGCCCTGGG